AAATCCAAATGCTGATCAGTAATCTCTTTTTCTGCCAACTTTTCATCAAGCCATTCAGTCATATAAGCAACTCCATTTAAATCAAGTTGCACCCGTGTACGGGTAGCTGGTTCCATTGCCGTTATTAAAAACAATAATTTCATATCAAAAAACTCTACAGAAGACGGATGTTGTACTGATGAAGCGACACGTTTAAGAATAGCGTCTGTGATATTTGATTTAACACACTGACGACGGCGATCTGCACATTGGAATACTAAATTGCACAAACACTTAAGGGACTCAACGACGATTTGCGTTGTGTTATCAGTCCAATGCAAAGTAACATCTTGAACTACTGCTCCATCAACATCTAAGTCACCTTCTTTGAGAGCAACTGAATCTGATTCTTCAACGGCTTCAGGATGTTCCAGATGAGCCAATTTAAGGAGGCACAACACATCTTCCTCTAAATCTTCTGCCTGCAGGCTAAACTTGTCACGCGTTAAGATACGAACGCTATTTAGAGTTAGAGAGTGTAGACCTACTAAATTATCATCTTTAAGAATATTAAACAGTGTGCGCCACATAGCGTGCCAGCAGCCATCTACATGGAACATTGAAAAATCAAAAAGGTCGTCATTCTGAAAAGTATGAATGGTTTAAATTGTTTGTTGATACATACGTACACATGTACATATGCATGTACACAATTTTCTTACGTACTTTCGAGTTAAATTCAGTTAAGATAGATTTGATTTCATCTGGATTTTTGCCACGCAATTGCTCTAATTTCTGCTCCTCCATTTTTTAGTTATAATCGCCGATATCCTTACCAAATTGGATTAGAATTTTCACGAATATATTCACATCGACTGACGTTTTACATGGTGGAATAATAACAAGGTATTGTCAGTAGCGACATGTTTGTTGTAATTTTGACAATATCGGCATGCTTCTTTCAGTGCTGCCGATCTTAATTTTTATCTACAATTTTTTGGGAAATAGTATGCACTTTAGTAACTTGTTTTATCGCGTTATTTTAATAACTTGGTGTTTTAGAACGAAATTAACACTGAAAATTTCTGGATTTGTATAAATTTTTTACTACAAATGTAAAAAAAATAAAATATATCGTGGTTATCAATGGAAAAACGTACACGAAAATCGTATGGAAAGGCGATTACGTTTATTTGGATTCAATTTTGCTGCATTGTCAGTTTTTTCGATTATTTATCGAAGTGGAAGTCATATTTTATCATGTTTAATACGCCATTTCGGATTTATTGTAAATTGGCTGACCAAAATAAAATAAGCATGGAACTAAAAGGTTGTTAATGAAAGGAATTGAAGGAAAAGTATTTTGGTTTTGTATTTGTGCAGCAAAACTGTAAACAAAGGATGTAAGAAATGTCAACGAAAACACCAACAGTCGGTGTGAACAGCCTTCAGCCCACAATCCCAAAACTGGTTTTCAAGGTCTTTTCGTTGTCTGTCCGAACATGGTATTATGTAAAAAAACAAAAAGTATCGATAGTATTGGAAACTATCGACTGTAGTACGATAGTAAAAAGCCATCGATAAAATCAATAGTGTTACGATTATCCTCGAAACCTTGAGGGATACCCAAATATACTCGG